TTTTGCAGATGAGGAAACCAAGGTTCATCTAGTTTACATCATTATCAAGTCATGATGCTGGGGTTCAAGCCCAGGTCTGTGCCAAGCTGAACCTATGATTTTTCCACAAGGCCATGTGCTGGCTGTGGAGAGCTTTGTGGGCCCCCACTGGGTGGCAGTGGGTAACTCTGAGCATTTCGGGGATGGAACCTACTTAGGGAGGAGAGTGCCATGACCTCAGTCTTTGGTTCACATTGGAATCACCCTGTCCCAATCCCAAACCCAGCATCAGAATCGACAGTGATGGAGACCTGGTGCGTGTGAAGTGGTTTCTCACTGTGGCTTTAATTGGCATTTCCCTGTTGACTAGTGACGTTGAACATCATGTCATGAGCTTACTGATCACTGAACTTTTTTGGAGACTGTTCAAGTCTTTTGCTCATTTTAAATTGGGTTGTTTGTCTTCTTCTTCTTGACTTGTTAGAGTTCTTTATATATTGTGGATATAAGTCCTTTGTAATATGTGTGTTACAAGTATGCTATCTCAGTCTGTCACTTATCTTTTCATTTTTACTTTCTGGAGAACAGAACAGTTTAACTTTTGATCAAATCCAAACAAGCATTTTGTCTTTCTTTTATGCTTAGTGTTCTTGTGTCTTGTATTTTTGCCTCCCCCAAGGTGGCAGAGATTTTCTCTGATGTGAGGTATGTGCATTTTTAGCACATTTCCCAGGCGATTCTGCTGTGCACAAAAGTTGGAGAAGCCCAGATAAAACGGTCACACTAGGTTCAGAGTCAGACCTGAGTTTGACTCCCAGGTTTGCCACTTACTAAGCAAGTCACATTGTTGCTCAGAGCCTCAGTTTCTCTATCTGCAAAATGAGGTAAAAATAGGACCCATCCAAAAACTTTGTTAGAGTTTACGATGACGTAAAGCTCAAACAGAACTTAGCCAAGCCCTGGCATGAAGAACGTTTTCTGTCAGAGCTGTTTTATGTGTATACCGGCAGCAGGATGGGACAGAAGGAATAACATGGGTTCTTCTTTGTTTTTAGTACATCAAGGCCTTTTACAACGAGACGTGGGAAAGAAAGCATGGACATCCGATAGACTCAGACACGCTGACTCTGCTGTGGTCCGTGACGGTGTCCATATTCGCCATTGGTGGACTCGCGGGGACGTTACTGGTGAAGCTGATGGGAAAGTGTCTGGGGAGGTCAGTGGGGATTGTCTTTGCTTGGGTAACCCCTCCGCAATGTTAATGATTTGTCTGTGCCATAGTCAGGGTCCCAGCAGGCAACACAACTCCACTTAGCTCAGCTGGAGAGATTTTTATGTCAGGAGGGGAAGAGGTAGAAATCGGGCGCCAGAGGCCAAGGAGCAGTGAAGCCGTGGACGACGGGCTGATGAGCAGAAGCTGAGGGACTGGACTCTGTGAGAACTCTGCTGTCCCAACAGGGCGGGAGCTGGGAAGAGATACCCTGGCTTCTCTCTCCCTCCTCTCCCACTCTGCCACTGGTGTCTCTCATTGGTCCAACCCACGTGGAAGCTAGAAACACCAGGAGCCTTACGATGCAGCCCAGGAAGACCAGGTCCCAGACGGAGCAGGGCTGGAAGGAGGAGATCAAATGGAAAAGAGCCGGCAGTGTCGTAGAGATAGTCCCATCCAAGCCCACACAGCTCCACTTTGAAAAAATCAGGTGCTTAGACAGTCTCCCATTATATGACTGGATGACGATTTATTGAGCCAGTTCCCTTTAGATAGACATTCAAGGTATGTCAAGTCTTTTACCTTACAAATATGGCTGCAGCTGAGTATTAAAACTTCATGTTGAGATTTCCCATCCTGGCCCTCTCCAGTCAGATCCACTTTACCTCATGAGCTTTAGTCCCTCACTTATTTTTGTCATAAAGAATTCTCTCAGATCAGATTGATTTATCAATAAATTCCCCAAATGTTTTCTTTGTATCCTTGCTCATAACTTCCTGGAAGATTGGAGGTGTTACTGGACAAAGTAGAGTCTCTGGAGCGTTGATGCCTAAACTTGAATCATGCGTCTTCCACTTACTAGCTGTGTGCCCTTGGCCAAGTCACTTAATAGATTTGAACCTCAGTGTCCTCATCTGTAAAATGGAGACAATTGTTCCTACTTTGTAAGGAATGTTATAAGGGCTAGAGAAAGTAATGGAAGGAGAATGGCCCATTCGCAGGAGCTCAATAAATAGAAGCTATTATTATTCACCATATTATTTACCATCATCCTCATCATCACCTTGACAACCATACATAGTAGGTGCTCAACAAATCTCCATATTGCATTGACCTGAGTTGGAAAGGAGATTCATCAAACCCCAGGAAATCGCCCCAGATCTTGGGGCTACAGAAACGGTGTTAGGAAAGGTGCCGCCCATTCATTTACACCCAGCCTCACATCCCCGACAAGGAGCACATTAGAACTACGTGGGTTCAGAGCAGGCTTCCCAGAGGCTGGCGCAGGAAGCCACCCTGAAAACACCCACGAGGGGTTCATGAAGGTCTGCTGCCCCGACAGCTGCCCACATTTTCCTTGTCCCCAAGGCCACTTCCGGGGCAGTAACTAATGGGATCTCGGAACTAGAGAAATATGACTATCGCATGCTTAGTGAAAGCTGCCATTTTCCGAGGTCCCCAAGGTTCCAGGCGCTGTCATACACTCTCTTGCTTAGTTCTTTCTACTCGGTGGGTCTGTAGAAGGGGAATGGAAGCTGAGGGAGGAAGGATGTGGAGAGATTAGATCAAAGGGTAGTGGTTGTTATGCCGCAAGCAGCTGCCAATTCCTTTTTTCATCATTCTGGGAGTAAAGGTTGAATTGGGNTTTCTTAAAACAACTCAGCCAATTGGGAATAGCAGGAAATTTCCTTAAACTGATAAAGATTATCTATAATACAAAAACACAGCAATCATATTCTCAATACTAAGATAGTAACGTTTCTTCTCTGAGTCCAGGAGCAAGACAGAGTGCTCGCTTCTCACCACTCTGAGACAGCATAGTCCCAGAGGTCCCTGGTAATGTAATAAAGCAAACCAAAAATTTAACATAAGATTATAAAGATTGGAAAAGAGGAACTAAATCTGTCATCTTTCATAGAGGACATGAATGTGTAAAACGTCTCAAAGAATTTATAAATAAACTTCAGAATGAATAAATGAATTTGGCTAGCAGGGTTGCTGGATAAAAGGCCCACAAACTTGTATGCTTGTAATAAATACTAAGTACGATTTTATTTCTCTGTTATAAGGTCCACGCCCTGAAAGGAATTGTGTTCCTACATGGAAAATGAAATATATAAACTATACCATTTGAAATATTATTAAAACCCTATAAATACCCAGGAATAAGTCTAATGAGAAATGTGCAATCCTTATACACAAAAATATATAAAATATCATGAAGAGATATTAAAGAAGACACATAAATAGAAGGGGGTTTCATCTTCATAATTGGGAGACCCAATATTATAAAGATATAATTCTCTCTATATTGATTTACGGATGCAGTACAAACCCAGTCAAATCCAAGCAGGTTTTGTAAAATAGAAATTGAAGGCAGCTTCTAAAATGTATATGAAAATGAGAATTCATGAAGTAATCTCCCAGAAGAAGAAAAATTGGAGGACTTAATCTACTGGATATCAGCACTTATTATGAAGTTAAAGTAATTTAAACAGCGTAGGTTGGTGCAAAGATAGAAAAATAGATCAGTGGAATGGAGTCTGAATCTGACCCATATGTATGTGGACACTTCATCTATGGCAAAGGTGCAGCTGGAGAGCTGAAGAGAAAAGTGTGTTTTCAGTAAATGATGTCAAAGTCCATCAGAGTCACCAGTGGTTGGGCATCCCAGACCCCCAGCAGGCTGGCACTCGTTTATGACTGTGGTGTGTGGGAGCCGCCCGGCTAGTCTGAGGGGGGCCGCAGACTCCGAGTCGAGCAGAGTGTCAGTATGAACCTTTGTTTTTATGTTTGGCAAATTGTATGTGAAGTTTGTTTAAAGATGGAATATTTCTATGTGTTACATCTTTCTGGAAGCATGGATTCCTGTGGCAGTTAGGAAGGAAATAATAACATATGCAACCATAAAAATAACCCCTTTTTGTTTACACATGGTCCTATGAAATTTCTACAGTTACAGCTTAGGTTATTATTTTTACAACTTAGCTGTTTTCTGTAAAACAGTAGCTTATTTTCAAGAATCTGTATCTGTGTTTTTCTGCTGCCCCTCCTCTTTGGGGAATTGTCTTAGGGATGAAATGCAGAAAGCACAATCCAGGATGACAAATGCTGTGTTTATATTGACACGCTGACATTTTATTTTATTTTATTTATTTATTTTTTAATTTTTTTATTGTTAGTTTCAGGTGTACAGAACAATGCAATAGTTACCCTTTTCACCCTCAGACACGCTGACATTTTAATTCCATTAAAAATGAAATCTGAACGCTGCTTCAGATTATTAACCCTAGGTGGATCGTGGTTTTAAATATGAGAGATAAAACAATCCATACTCTAGAAGATAACATAGAATGGTATTTTCACCATCTTGAGATAGGGAAAGATTTCTTAAACACGATAGAAAAGACACTAGTTTAAAGTAAAAGTACTGATCCATTGGACTGCATTAAAATGAACGCCTTCTGGCTTTTGCCCTGACCCTTGTCCTGACACTCGCCCGTCCCCTCATACTGACATTCACCATAGCGCATAGCCCTTGCACTGGCACCTCCCGTGCCCTTGGCACCTCGCTTTTGCCCTTGACCCTTGACCTCACCCTTGCCAACTATATATGTGCCTTTGACTTGAACCTGTCACCAGATTCCTGCCTGGACTTCATCCTGACCCTGGTCCTGCCACTTGCCCTTATCCTGACCCGACCCTCTTCTGAGCCTTGCCCTGATCATCACACTAGTCCTTACTAACACGTCATCCACCCCTACCATTGTCCCTACACTCACTTAACTCTGATCTTGACACACCCTCACCCTGAGCTTCGCTGTGGCCCTGACCCTCAACCTCCCTCTTACCTTGGTCCTGGCCCTAACCTGGTCCTCACAACAAAAAATAAAATAAAATAAAAATGAAAGATAAAATTAAGGACTTCTTGTCATAAAAAGAAAGAAAAACCATAGATAGCAAAAAAGAAAATGCTTGTAATGAATGAAATTGACCAAGGGCTCCTATCCAGAATACATTAAGAGCTCTTACAAATCAATGAGAGAAAAACAGAAAGCCTACTGGGTTATCGGAAACGTCATGACACATTTTTTGCAACGAAAAACAGAAAAAAATATGTCATGACTTTTCCGACAACCCAATATTACAAAAATGGTTAAGAGACTGAACAGGCATCTACACAAAATGGCCAATAAATTTAAAAAATCAAATTAGTAATGAAAGAAATGGAAATTAAAACCACAGTGGCTAAACTTAAAAAGACTGAGAATGTCAAATATTAGCAAATATGTGGAGCAACAAGTATTTCATAATCTCTTATGAAGGTGTAAATTGGTACCATAAGTTGGGGAAATTGTCTTTACTAAAACTAAACATGCATACATTATGACTGCCATATATATTACATATATATATACATATACATGTTCATACATAAATACAGAGGGTGCCAAAAAATATTTTAAGAAAGGAAAAAACTATTAATTGTAATATTCAATACACACTGATAACAAAAGATGAACACAAGTCACCTTTGACTTCTGCCATTACAAGAGGTGCTCAAAGTGGTTCCCATCAGCGTCCAGACACTCCTGATGATGGCGAACTGCTGCTTGAGCAACGCTGACCAAAGTGTCCANAATAATCAACGCCAGTGATGAACCCAGAGCGAGGAAGTGCCTTGCTCAGGATCACACAGCCAGAGGTGGCAGTGGGCGCCAGTGGAGACCCTGCTCCTGGGATGGACAGCCTAGTGATGGCACCGCAGTTGGTCAGCTCCCTCATCAAACCCCTCCTTTTTTTCTAGGAAGTACACTTTGCTGGTCAACAATGTGTTTGCGGTTTCCGCTGCCTTGCTGATGGCCTGCTCTCTACAGGCAGGCGCCCTGGAAATGCTCATCGTGGGCCGCTTCATCATGGGTGTGGATGGAGGTGAGACTCACCCGGGGGATGGGCAGCAACACGTTCTTAGGGGTTGTTGTTATTTTACATATGAGAACACGGAGGCTCAGAGTCATGCGTGCGACAGTCAAGTGCTTAAGGGTGAGGGTTCTGGCCTCAGACTGCCTGGGTTCTGCCACTTTCCTCTGTTAATTTCATCACCTTGTCTGTATCGGTTAGGTCTTGCTGCATAAGAATAAAAAAACAACCCAAGACATAATGGCTTAAAGCAATAACCATTTCCCTGGGCTTACAATTCCGTGGGATGGCTGGGCAGTTCTTCGGATCTGGGCCAGCTCTGCTGACCTCTGCTGGGGGTCACATGTCCGTGGTCGGCTACAGGCCAGTCAGCAGCTGGATGACTTCAGATGGTCTCGCTCCTGCATTTGGTTGTTGGCAGGTGGGTTGGTTTTAGGGGTCCCCGCTCATCTCTGCTCTGTGTGGTCTCTCAGCCTCTGATAGAGTGGCCCGGGCTTCTTCACGTGGACTTCTCAGGATTCCAGTGAGTGACAAGAGGCACAAGTCCCATCCAACAAGCTCTTGTAATGTCTCTGTTTGCCACATCTTTGCTAATGTCTCGTTGGCCAAAACAAGTCCCACGGCCAGGTGTAGAGTCAGTGTCAGGGGACCTAACTACCCAAGGATGTGGACTCAGGGACCATGAACACATCAGAGGCCACACCAACAGCCTGCTCACCGTCTTAGCCTCTTTCTCACATCTGGCAAAGGGACTTCATCATAAGGCCTTACTTGTTGGGGTAGATCAGTAAAAATGAACTGATATCCTATGTGAGTAAACACTCAGTCCACTCCAGGCACTTAGTACCTCCCCCCAGTGCCAATTATGGCGGTGGTATCATTGCCGTTATTGTTGCTGTTGCTATTTTTATTCTCAATTAACAAAGTGCCCATCCAGGATTTGGACCAGGATGGTCTGGTTTCAAAGACCATGCCTACTTAGAAGAAAGGGTGGAGAGCTTGGAGCATGTAGCCTTGAAAGTCCTTCCCTAATGGAGGCCAGTGAGAGCCTCTTTCTGGCAGCGTTATATTTTATCCATTTGCCCTCTTTCCTGTTGTTCTGGCTGTCTTGCAATTCTGGGGGAGGTGACACTTATTACACATAACTTGTTGCTCTCCGAATTTCCTTAATTAAAAATAAGCTGAATTCAAAGAGAGATGTCCGTTTTACAAAACCACATATTCAAGGGAGATGTCTTTTAGACCCTTGGTTCTATGAGCTTTTCAAAATGAGACAGAAAAAGAAGCAAGAACAAGGAGTGGAGAAAAAAATGAATTCCTTCTGATTCCTGGACCGGAATGTGGTCCATTGGAGTTGGGCCAAGACATGTGAGCTTCATGTCGTTAATTCTCACCAAAGCTCCTCCAAGCAGAGACAGGAATCAGAGGGCGTTTGAGGTGAGGCAGTTGGTCAGAAGGAAAGGAAAATTGCTGATCATGAGAGGAATCCATTGTCCTGCTCGAAATAAATAGTTTAAAGCCAAAAGATAAGCCGCGGAGTTTTCAGAAGGTTGTGCTGCTCAGACTGGGTTCTCATGGGGTATTTGGAACCATAGTAGAAGCATCAGACACCTTCGTGAAATGTCCTTTTTCTAGAAGGTTTGGAGGAAAAAAATCAACACAATATTTTTGCATTGAAACAAATATGATGCAGTCTGTTGTTGGAGGCAAAACCCCCTGCACACAGTAAAGTCAAAATACAGGAGTGCAGAGGCGTTTTGTGCTTGTGGAGGACTGTGTGGGACATGTCCCTTTCACAGCCTTCCCAGGGCTGCCACCCTCCCAGCNTGGCTCATCCACTCTCCTTTTTCAAGTCTGTGCTCAGATGTCCTCTTCTCGGGGAGGCCCTGCCTGGCCACCCTGTGTAAAATGACACCCCCTTCTGCTTTAGCTTTCTCTGCAGCATTTGTCACCATCTGACATGCTACATCTGTTTTATTTTTACTTGTTTATTGAGAGGAGCATATGAGCAGACCCTTTGTCATGCTCATGGCTACATTCCAGAACCTAGAATGGCGTTCAGCACACAGTTTATACTCAAATGTGTGTTGAATGAATGAATGCCAGATGAATGAGTGACTGTTAACAGAATAAATGGCTATGAGTAAATCTGGCAACCACCATTTGGCATTCGTGGTTACTGGAATGCCAAAGCTCTCATCGAAAGCATGTGACCTTGACCGGGTCTTAACTTTCTACATCTGTTTCCTCATGTAGGAAATGGGGTAATGAGATTACTTAAGTCACAGGGTATCCAGTGAGTATAAAGCACTTAAAACAGTGCATGGCATGTAGTAGGCACAATGAATGTTAACTACCACCATGGGCTTTATTTTATGTCTTTTTTAATTTCTTGAGGCTCCAAATAACTTCTAGGTGCCATCCTGAGCACTTTACGTAAATCATCTAATTCTCACAAAACACACCAGCCAGAGGTGGCATGTGAATTGAGACTTTTGTGAGATAAGATTCATGCAACAAACAGAGGGTCTCCAAGGACAAGGGCCATGAGCTGGGACCAGCCTGGCATCTCTGAGGGACAGTGAGGAGGCCAATGTGCATGGAGACAGTAGTATCAGGTGATGTGGCAAAGGCCGTCTCATGCCGAGGTTTGTAGGCCCTGGTGAGGAGTTTGTTCTAAGTGCAGTGGAAAGTCTCTAGAAAGTTTTAAGTAATGGAAAGTGTGTCAGTGTTTGCTTTGCATCACTCTGGCTGCTCGTGGACCTTGAACTACANATGATGGGTCTGAGGTCCTGAGAGGCCCAGCAACTCGCCCAGGGTTACAAAGAATGCAGTTGACCAGAAATTCAGATCTGGGTTGCTTTGACCTCAAGCCTGCATTCTTTTTATTACATTGTGCCGATTGCAATGGCTTCTTGATGCATTGTTCGTCTCCCATGGGGGCTATTGGGGAAGAAGACGAGGCTGAGTTCAGGGTGCAGGGCTGGGGTGGAAGAGGTTTGAACATGCACCTGGGAAAGAAGCTCCGCTGGAGCTGGGCATTGTGGGAGTCAGGTGGGCGTGGTCACCGACGGGTGGGGGAGGGGTGGGCGTGGTCACTGGTGGGTCAGGCCTTGGGGCCCATCCTGGTTAGGGGACTTTGAACTTGTCTGTGATTTGGGAGAGGGATGAGGAGCATGAGGGGCCAGCAACTGTCTCTGGGTCTGAGCCACCCCGCTGTCTGTTCTCAGGGATGCAGGTTCAGAGACAGTGGTGTGGTTGATGGAGAATCAGAAGCATTTTTTGGTGTGTTTCCTTATCAGAGGGAGCTACAATGGCATGTTAATGAGATGTGCCAGCAGAGAGGGAAAAAATGATAGTCACAAAAGGAACAAGAGGCGAAACTTGCTGAAGCAATATCCTTGAGCAGGTGAGGGGAGCGGGGACTAGTACGTAACTGGAGGAATTGGCCTCAGATAGGCGTGGGGACAGCCCATTCATAGAAGTACAAGAGAAGACAGAGTGTCTGGGCACAGACGCAGGTAGGGTGATACCTGTAGAGGAGACACGCGAAGGGTCTCTTCGATTGCTTCTGCTTTCCCGCTAGAATAGAAAGCAAGGGCATCAGCTGAGAAAGACGACAGGGGATTTAAAGAGAGAGAAGATGTCCTCAAGGACTATGAAATAGTCCTCAAGGAGAGCAGGACCCTGAATGAACCAGGCGACTGGGGACTGCTTACGTGAGAGCGCTAAAGACCACTTGAGGTTGGTGGCCATGAGGTTGGTGAGACCAGTCAACACAGCTGTGTGTGTTTCTCCAGCCAAGCCGAGCTTTGTGGTACATGTGTGAGATGGGCCGAGCTCTAACCGGGGATGGGGTTTTGCTAGGCACGTATCAGGAAGGGGGTTGGATCAGTGGGTCAGGGAGTTGAGGGTGTGTGAATGTTTAACATAGCGGACCTTGGAGTTAGAGCTGGGGAAGCAGGAATGGACCGACGAGAAGAGGGTGACAGATGGTGGGAGCAAGTTACCATCTTGGCTCATAGCCTTGGTCAGGCTGAAGAACGGTTACGAGGGTAAGTGGTGGGCGCCAGTATCTCCAGAGGTTTCCCATCTCACTAGGGCTGAATGAAAAGTCCTTTCTAAATCCAAAGTGAAATAGCATCCCCCCGGATGTATCTTCCACCACTCATCCTGGTCCTGTGGATCAAGTTTAAAGCATGACGTAGTAATAGTGGAAGGCAGCTTGCACACGTTCCCTGAGTGTCCTCTTCTCCAGGCTAAATGGCCCCAGTCCCTTTGGCCATTGCTTACGGGACATGGTCTCCTCTCTCCTCTCCACTCCATCTCTCCTTGTATTCAGCCCCTCCTGCCGAGAGCTGATCATCTCCTGGGCTGCACAGGGAAGAGTCTACACCACTGGAGAAGCTCAAAACAGTGAATCAGGTGTCCGGGTGGAGTTCCAAGGGGGCGCTGGCATTCTGCTCTCAGAACCAGCAGGGCACAGATCCCCCTTATTTCTGTTGCTGTATTTATCTCCGGGGGAAAAAAAATGAAAACACAATGATTAAAATCCCCCTCTCTGAACCCCAGTGGGTCAGCTTTGCGAATTATTTGCAATTAAGGTTTCTATTCTCACTGGGACGCTGCCATGCTGGGGGTTATTTTGGGAAGAAATATATTAAATGATGAACTTGCTTCAAGGGTGTGCCGCCCTATTTGCGAATGTTTCAAGTGAGACTTGAATGCGATTTTAACATTCCTAGCATCGCACAAAACACACCATCGCATCTAATGCAAGAGCTCAGGCCAGAGCCCTTAGCGGCCTCCTTGGTTCCTCGCTTCCTTCCCCCTCTGTCTGGTCCATCTGTAAATCCCATCAGCCCTGTCTTCAAAACACGCCGGGACCTCAGCACTGCTCACTCCCTCCACTGCTACCATCCGGCCCCAAGTCACTATCAGCACGTGCCTGGTCTCTTGTCAGAGCTCCCCTATTGGCTGCTCAGTTTCCA